ACAAAAAAAGTCAAACTATAGCAAAAATACAAACGTATTGTCCGCACACTGATATAACACACTGATATAGATTTGACATATTTCTCTCTTCTGAGCAACATAATCAGCCCATGACTCCATATGTATTTTTTTCTGTTTTGTAAAGTCATAGAAATGCTATTGTGGATTTTTATCAGCATGTCTGCATGTCGACTGGACTTGTGGTTGTGTGTTTGCTCTGAAAGGAACGTGTGAGGTGAGTTTACTCCTTCAAATACTTGATTCTGCATTGTGTCATGTACACAGATAAAGTCTGTGAGAACTCAGTTATCCTGCTGTAATTCAGCTATAATTCTGCATGTAAATGTACTTACTGAGATACAGCTACAAAAATAATTGACCATAAACATAACTTTTTTTTATGCTAATTACTTTGATTACATCATTACACATCAAATCAAACTGATGGCTGTTTTGATGAAACCAGTAACCGCTCTCTTCACAGAAAGAAATTCTGCTGTTTTTATTTAGCCGTTTACTCAAATTACTATTGGTCATAATAACTCTCCTGCACTGTGTGTGTTCATGAATGATAGCTCAAATCATGTGGATTACTTTTTTAGCAGCTAGACTAATGATTTTCACCTGGCATATGATAAAAAGGCATGTGATAATGAAACAATCCCATAGACCCCAGCTCTATCTAGAGACCAAAATATCACATTTCATTTTGGTTCCGACCAATAAGCAGCTTGCACAAGTTCAGACATTAAGTTACTTCTATCCCACCTGCTGCTCACAGTCTTGTAAGTTACAGTGGTGTATAAAGTACCTGAAAGCCATACTCAAGTAAAAGTGCAGATATCTTACCAGAAAATGACTTTGGCAGAAGTTGAAGTCACCGTTTAGAATATTACTTGAGTAACAGTCTTAAAGTATGTGATATTTATTTTACTTAAGTACGAAAAGTATTTTTTTTTTTTATCTTAAACGTACTTAAGTATTGAAAGTAAAAGTAGAAGTAAATGCAAAATGGAAAAAAGCAAATAAATATATATAAATAAATGTTCATACAGAGCTTGAGTAGCAAGATTGTGTTTAGTTTTAACTCTTTCTTACATTTTGGATTTTTGGGTAAGAATAAGAAACACTTCATCCGGTACTTAGTGTCTTTCATTCCAACATAAGAAAACATTTCTGGAATCTGCATCTGAAATACATCCGGTAGTGTCTTTCATTCCAACATAAGAAAACATTTCTGGAATCTGCATCTGAAATAGTATTTAGATGTATTTACACAGTTTATGTATCTCAGAGGGGACATGGATGCATTTAAACTGCAGTTACAGATGCATAAATGGCCTAATGTAAAAAGTCCTAATGTTTTTTTTTTTTAACATAACGTTGAATACTGATATCTGAAATTATTTAAAACATGAAAAAAAAGTCGAAATGTGAAATTAAAACCGGCAGTAGGTGACAGCAAGTGACTGTTAATGAGTGAGTCATTGAGAATCAACAGATTCATTCAAACGACTGATTCATTCAGAAACCAAGCATTTGACTGTGTTAATGAGTGAATTACTGGATCATTTATTCAACCGATTTGTTCAAAACGCTGATTCATTCAATAAGTAAATACCGTCCGTTGCTCAGAGACGCAAAACAGTGCTGTGATCTTTGTTTGGAACTATTTTCGTTAGCAAAATTGAGCAAAAACAAGAAATATTATGTCTAAAATGTAAGTCACTTATTGCTTTAGTGAAATGTAGTGGAGTAAAAGTAAAAGTTGGCTGAAATATAAAAACTCAAGTAAAGTACAGATACTCCCAAAAAATACTTAAATACTGTAACGAAGTATTATTACTTCGTTACATTACACCACTGGTAAGTTATACATCTATAAGCTCTTTAAATGTTCTTCATCAGTGTGGAGCCTCTTGCTCTAGTATGGCCACAATCTCTTCCATGGTGCTTTAACCTTGACACTATACTACCAGAGCCAAAGACTGAGAAAAGAGTTAGGGCTGAAGAGCAGGAGAACGTTCAGGAGTGTTCAGATTAAACTAAAGAGCATTTCTTGGATCGGTTTGCGGCTTCACGCGGATGGACAGGCTGCACAGACACTGGGTGAGAAGTGATTATGAGCAAACACACGGAGAGAGCCGGCCTTCAGCCGTGAGGAGGAGAGGGGTGAGCGGCCCAAGGGCGGCTGCAGGGTCACGGGGCTGCGCAGAAGGTCGGGGGGGATGGGACGGCTGGCCACATTTCAGGGCAGATGCTCAGTATGCAGATGGCTGTAATCGAATGGGGTGATTTTCAATTGGCTCTCTGATTAGCATCAGGACAATGGCGTCTCCCGTCTCTCTGAACTTGAAGGAGCAGATCTTTCTGAAATAACAGCCAGACTGGACACCAGGATGATTGATTGGACGTGTCTGTCACTTATTATTACAAAAGTCAGGAGAAGCGTGCGACTATGGGAGGCAGATGAGTGCACACATGCACACTACTCTCCACACAGAATTGAGACTGAAAGCGTTCTCTTGCACACTGGGTGATTTCCACATACAGAGCAATACAGTGCAATGTTATTCCATTACTGCGTGAGACTGCCATAGACAGCATCAACATTTCCGTTCCAGACCAGTCCATGTTTCTAGTGCCGGAGTCGAACCGATCTTTCCGGCCCAGAAAGGGTCATGTTTTCTGCAGTGGAAATGCATGGGACAGTTGGAGAACAGACCCAGGCCGGGAACCCGCTCGGGAACCATGACAGTGGAAAAGGAGCATGTTGAGCAAAATAAAAAGAAGTACCATTAGTATGCACATTTGGTTTCTGACCACTGAAAATGTGCACAATTTAATCCATCCAAAGCAGTTTACAGAAATAGGAACAGTAACCTTGGAGCTTTTATGTTGAACCGATGATGTCTTATGACTTAATCCATGAATCGTTTGATTATTCATTTATATTATATGGTAGTAAATAAGAGAAACATTTGAGATGTTAAATTCAATAAATTCAGTTTAATGTAAATATTCAGTAATACCATTGATTTTACGGCACAACGACACAATCGGATGAGAACAAAACTTGAACTGAATTGAGCTGATTACTGACATTATTGTCTTCTGCTTTATAGCTGAATCAAATATGTTCATAATGAATGAATTCTGCAACTTCTACAATGGTACTGAACTGAACTGAATCAACACTGAACAGGCCGGAGCTGAATAATGTCACTATTGTCTTGCTACAGCTATTTACAGCACAATTTAGCATCATTGATTCTGTTACCTTCCTGTTTAATATTGTGACACTACTTTAAAACAATCTGTATTGTATAAAGTGCTGTAAATATGAAAGTGATCTGACTTGTTAAATCGATCTAATTTTTTATATTTCTTTCCTCTGGGCAACTCATTAGTACGGAGTCCGGGAAGTCACCTGTAGGAGAAAAAAAACAATCCGTGGCGACGGTTTTGCAATCCGTCCCCTCAGTTTATAAACCGTGCTCACGAATTCTTAAACTGTTCCCTCGGTTTAACAAATCGTGCCCACGGATTAATAAACCGTACCCACGAATTTCCAATCCGTGTGCTCAGATTTTGTAAACCGTACCTTCGGTTTTTGAACCCGTAGCCACAGATTCATAATCCGCGCGCACGCTTTCGCAATCCGTTCCCTCGGGTTTGTAAACTCGTGGATTTGTGGCCCCGCCCCCACCGGCAGATTCAACCACGGTGCGGGATGCGTAGTATTGTGTTTATTAAACATTATTTTTCATAGTATGAGACCATGATCCGCACTCACAAAATAGTCTTCTTTTTAGCGTTTATTTTATATGAATCACCGATAGGATAAAACACCTCCGCCTGTGGGTTATAGCCTAAAATAAACGCTAAAAATAAGAATAGAAAATGTCCTGAATTTTCTAAAAAATAAAACGATAGAGTTTCGAGAGAAGAACTTAAAAAGCAATAAAAACCAATAATGTACCGGTTATGTTGTCATTCCTTTGCTCTCTAACTGAATGCCTATTCCACATAATATTATGCAATAAAACAATATACAATATGATTTGTTAACATGTAGGCTACCTAGGAGCTTACTGCATGAACCCGTGAGTACAGTTTACAAACCCGAGGGAACGGATTGCGAAAGTGTGCGCGCGGATTATGAATCTGTGGCTACGGGTTCAAAAACCGAAGGTACGGTTTACAAAATCTGAGCGCACGGATTGGAAATTCGTGGGTACGGTTTATTAATCCGTGGGCACGATTTGTTAAACCGAGGGAACAGTTTAAGAATTCGTGAGTACGGGTTATAAATTGAGGGGACGGATTGAAAACCATCGCCACGGATTGTTTTTTTTTCTCCTACAGGTGACTTCCCGGACTCCGTACATTAGCGTAGGAACATTAACTGCTAAGTAAAGGTTAGGTTGGTCTACTCTTTTAAGAACTGATTAATGACTCTTGCAACTTCACATTTCCAAAATACTACAATGCATTTTATTTATTTTATTCACAAATGTAAAAAACAAAACCCCAAAAAAACTGTAACATAAGTCACAATTATGCGAAATAAAGTCATAAATGTGAGATATAAAGTTGCAAAATAAATAAAAATGCAATTCTAAGAAATAAGGCAGCAATTTTGAGACATGAAGCTATAATTGTGCGATATAAAGTCGAAATGTCAAGAAATAAAGTCCTGTTTGTTTGTTTTTTAATCTGAGACAGAAACTTTCATTCATATACTCATAACTCATAGGAAACAGTTTAACATTCGCCGCCCAATGCATTTATTGCAGTAATTTCCTGAAAGGTCATCCATCATTTTCTGTTTCATCACTATCCTAATGTACAACGAAAAAAATATAGCTTTAAAATAATACTAATGATAAACAGCTTTTAAAAAGCACTAATTTACAGCATTCGCATCCGGCTTGACGTGTGACTGTAATATCGCGTTATTTCATTGTTTAATGTCTTTTTGAACGCACAGATCTGAAGTCTCGCGGGATTTCAGTGCGTTGACTAAATGCCACGTCGGTTTGAGCGTGAGCAGCAGCATCTGCTGGTGTTTATTTGACCGACTGCGCAAAATAAGCCAAATCGGAGTTGTTGCCGTTACCGGTTGAGTCGTGTGCGGTTATCAGACTGCGAGGCGTCTCCAGCAGCAGCGGGTAAGTTATCTACATGATGGTCTTTGTGAGAGTGATCGTGTGTTTACTGCACTGATCTGCTCACTTTCTAGCTCGTGTGTTGATGCTGCAGAGAAGCTTTAATCCTGCTCAAACACAGACTAGTGATGATTTACCTGACGTTAGCTCTAATGACTGAATGGAGCCGATGCTTTTATCCCTTTAAACACATCAGTTATCACCCTGATCTCTTTTGCTCGGCTACTGTGACACAGACTTGATTTCAGATTGCTGGATTCGGTTGATCTTCCAGGCTTCCTACGTTTCGACGTAACAGAAACTTAACAGATAGATGAAACACTGTTTCTCGTTAGGCTTTACTCCACAATACTTATTTGGGAGGGAACTGCTCTTAATAACCGGAGTCCAGTAACCACAGACCTGTCGGAAATGGATTTCATTGCTTCCTCTCTGCTGTCGTCATGTCCGCTTTGCAGCCGGATGTTGTTCTGATGTCTGTGTGTGAACATTCATTCATTCGTGAATTGTTATTGACTCGTGTGCGTTCATAAAAGCTATGAAAATGTCTGTTACAAACTGACCTCCAAAACTGCCTATTTTACTAGTTCAAGCTATTTGAGTTAAACTTAATCTGACATACTGCGTGAAATCCTGTACTTAATCTGAAACTATTTTGAACATTTCTCTGGTTTCTTATATTATTGTGCATGCACTTTTTACGAGCTCCTGTTAATTGAAAGCCTACATGTTCCACCATGTCCGGGCAGAAGAGTGTGTTATCATGCTTCTAGATAAAGTGCATGGACCTGTTACTCATTAGGGCTCTGATGATGCTGTGTGAGCTCAAGAGTGTTGTGTTTGTGTTTGCAGGAGGAATGAGGACCTTCATCAGATCACTGTTACTGATCACTGTTGGGATGGCAGTGTGTCAGCAGACACTCGCTCACTCCCACCATCATCACGGACACTCGCACGGCGACGGTGGCGGCTGCCACGGACACTCGCACGGAGCGGCCAAGATGCACCATGGGGCCAGCAAATGGAGCGCTGAAGCTAACCTGCCCCACGCTGAAGAGGAGCATCACGATCACGGACACGATCACGGTCATGCTCACGATCACGCACACGATCACACACATGATCACGATCACGCACACGATCACGATCACGCACACGATCACGGTCATGCTCACGATCACGCACACGATCACGGTCATGTTCACGATCATGCACACGATCATGGACATGCTCACGATCACGCACACGATCACGCACACGATCACGCTCACGGTCACGCTCACGATCACGCACACGATCACGCTCACGATCACGCACACGATCACGCTCACGATCACGCACACGATCACGCTCACGATCACGCACACGATCACGCTCACGATCACGCACACGATCACGCTCACGATCACGCACACGATCACGCTCACGATCACGCACACGATCACGCACACGATCACGGTCATGTTCACGATCATGCACACGATCATGGACATGCTCACGATCACGCACACAATCACGATCACGCACACGATCACGCACACGATCACGATCACGTACACGATCACGCACACGATCACGATCACGTACACGATCACGTACACGATCACGATCACGTACACGATCACGCACACGATCACGGTCATGCTCACGATCACGCACACGATCACGATCACGTACACGATCACGCACACGATCACGGTCATGCACACAAAGGTGATCACGCAGCAGAGCGACTGAAAAGCGATGTGAAAGCAGGGAAGCGGAACATGGTGGAGCTCTGGATGCAGGTAAATCACGCTGATGGACGAGATTGTCACAATATGTCAGTCTTTTTAGATTCAGTGAATTCTGTAAAATATGTTAACACTTGATACAGTCATAAAGTACTTATAAATCATTTGCAAACTAGTTAAATCGTAGTTTATAAATTCTAGTCACAAATTGTTAGTACATTAATAGGCTATGTACAAAGAGAGCGTTTTTAAACATTTACAAGTTTTAAAGAAGTATTTACTCCTGATAAACATTAACAACTCCTTCACTGCTGGTTTAAATTCAGTACATTAGTTAGGTTAATGAGTGGGATTAAAACATGATCTAACACATATGAGCTAATTAAACAATAAAAATGTCTTAGTGACTGTGAATGTCGTTCTCACTATTTGTACATAACCTATTAATGTAGAGGCTGCTGTTTATTAACTATGAATTAACAATAAACGAATAGTATGCAAAAGATGTTTTTTTTACTGTATACTTGCTAAGTGTTTTAGTGAATTAGTGAATTATTTGCTCACTCAAAAATCTTCACAGAAGTCCTTGTGTTGTATTCTCCTTGCACTAAAATGTTATACTAAAAACATGACTCATGTAATCAGATGTGCGGCTGGACCGTCTGAAATTGGAATAATCAAACAAAATAACATCAACCTGATCAGAATTGGCATTAGGTTATGTTTGCATGTATATATTTAAAGCTATAGAACACATGAACCACATTTATACATGAATAATATTCAGAACATTTTGAAAAACATGACATGTTTTTATTTCCGAGATATTTTTCCAGTCCACAGATGCTCTGCAGTGCCGTCTTTAACCTCCAGGGGTCTGTGGAGGTCTAGCTGAAAACCATGGCTTTAAGACACTGAGCTTTCTTTCTTTCTTTCCTGCTTGTAGGCCATTGGAGCCACTCTGCTCATCAGCGCTGCTCCCTTCCTCATCCTCTTCCTCATCCCGGTGCAGTCAAACACGGACCAGCACCAGAACCTGCTAAAAGTGCTCTTGAGTTTCGCGTCTGGAGGTTTGCTTGGGGATGCGTTCCTTCATCTCATCCCTCACGCGCTGGGTGAGTGAGCACACTGTGGAGGGCACATGACTCGAGCCCTGAAGCCCTGAGGTTACCCGAGACTGAGCAGAATAGCCTTGTCTTTAGATCTGTAGTTTCTGTAGCTTTATAAAACGGAGAGTTCCGGTGCTTGATTCTGATTGGCTGAGCCGCGTTCGAAGCTGTTGTAAATTACTCTACAAACACACACCTTTGTTTACTTCTGTGTGTTGGTCGGCAACCACTTTGTTGGAACCAAAACTGATTCTGAGAAACTACATTGTTTGGTGGAAGAATACTGTTTTTATTAATATCATTACACTTTATTTGCTCTGTTTTATTTTGTGAAACCTTACTACGTATATGGAATAACTATGGCGTTATTTTAATGACATGTCGAGAGCGCATTATTGTAGCGCGAAAGCACAAATATAATGCGCTTGCACGAATCTCTCCGCTCGCACGCGGATTTCCTTTGCTGTCACACAAAACTGGACGCGCGCGCTCAGATACACGCTGCTCTCGCCCAGAGAGAGTGTGTGCACTTAAAACGTCTCTCTCCTCTCGCTCAAAGTGTGCGCGCTCAAACTGTGTCCTGTGCACTCGCAAATCTCTCTATGCTCATGCAGATATTAATTCATTTCACACCTGAATTAAACATTGTCAAAAGTTATCAACCAATCAGATTTCAAAGAAAATTCAGTTGAGGTATCTGACATATTATGACATAACATTGATCTTTTATATGAAGTCTTTAGAGCCATAGACTATAATATGTTGTTTTTATAAATATATGTTGTTATTGATAAATTGCTCCGAGACCAACCAGGACAGACAGAGGTTATATGTACAAATCATCCAAGCACCCAGTTCCTAGCCATTTCTAATATAGGCTACATTTCATTAACATTGATAATATCATAAATAATAAAAATCCAAATAAAAAAAATTAAAAAGTCAAGGAAAGGCCCTGAACAAATCTGTTTTGAGACTACTTTTTAAAAGTGCATAATAACTTTTGACAACGTTTAATTCAGGTGTGAAATGAATTAATATCTGCATAAGCATAAAGAGATTTGCGAGTGCACAGGACACAGTTTGAGCGCGCACACTTTGAGCGAGAGGAGAGACACGTTTTAAGTGCGCGCACTCTCTGTATCTATGTGTATCTGAGCGCGCGCGTCTCTGTATCTATGTGTATTTGAGCGCGCGCGTCCGGTTTTGTGCGAGAGCAAAGGAAATCCACATGCGAGCGGAGAGATTCGTGCTCGCGCATTATATTCATGTGCTTTCGCGCTACATTAATGCGCTCTCGACATTTCTCATTAAAATAATGCCATAAATAACCATTTTATAAAAGCAATAAGCCCCGTGAAGCTGTGGTTTACGGTGAATTTATAACAGCTAAGGGGGTTTTAGACTCCACTTCACGTCGTGCCTAACAACGCCCCTTAGCTGTTATAAATTCACTGTAAACCACGGCTTCTTGGGGCTTATTGCTTTAGTCTATACTGGACTCTATAAATATATTAGCATACTGTATTGTGTATTGTTTTATGAGGTGTATAAATCCTTTTCTAGTATTGGTAGTGCAGATTTTATTCTAGGTGGTCTATCATATGAAGAATTGTTCTGCTGTCAGAAGACTCTGATTCTGAAATCTGCTCTACTAACCAGCCAAACCTTCACCCCTTGATTTCATCTCAACACAGAACCTCATTCTCATCATGACCAGTCACACGGCAGCGACGAATCACATGGTCACTCACACGGTAGGCTGTTGTTCAGTCACTGAAATACTGTTTTTCTAACCGAAGTTATAATTTGGCCAAATGCAATGCAAGATTTAAATTTATTGGAAGATGCTCTTTTGTTTTTTCTGAAGTGTCAGTCAGTGCTTTGTTTCTGTCGCAGGTGCAGGTCATGGTCACATGATGCTGGTCGGGCTGTGGGTGCTGGGTGGCATTGTTGTGTTTCTGGTGGTTGAGAAATTTGTTCGTCTTTTGAAGGGAGGACACTCTCACTCTCACTCTCATGGTAAGAGTCTTAAATTAATCCGAGTATATTTGCATTTAAAGCACTTGAAAAATATTCCTAATGCACATATGACTAGATTCAGAACAGCTCTGTTTTGGTGGGGATTGCCGGTTATTTTTGATGAAATCTTTTCTTCTGTCACTCAATGATTAGGAATGGCAGATAGACCAAGCAGCTGTTCCCAGTGATGTACCAGAAAATCATGTCACATTGCAAACAATCCTGCTGCTGCTAAATAATACTGAAATATAATTCCTCTCTTCTCTTTTTTTTGAGCAGTGATCCGGACATTGTTGACAGGCTTCCAAATACAATAAAAAACCCTTTCTTGCCATGTTTTCAGCGGCTCCAAAGGCAAAAGACAGCGATGAAGAGGATGATGACAAGAAAAGAGAGAAGAAGGGAGGGAAAGAAAAAAACGTTGACTCTGATAAGAAACCTGCAAAGAAAACAGTCGAGACGAGTTCTGGTACAAAAACCCAAGCCCAAAAGCTCCAGTGTTTGAGTTGTTGTGTTGGCGTGTGTCAGCGCTTGTTGTCTTACTGACAGAAAAACTCTGTGTCTGCAGATATTAAAGTGTCGGGTTATCTGAACCTGGCTGCTGATTTCACCCACAATTTCACAGATGGTCTTGCGATCGGCGCATCATTCCTGGTTGGTCCAGCGGTTGGCACTGTTACCACCATCACCATCCTCTTACATGAAGTCCCACATGAGATTGGAGACTTTGCCATTCTCGTCCAGTCAGGCTGCACCAAGAGGAAGGTACAGAGCTCCAGAGAGCTGATTTGTCAGTCAATGGTTCTGGGCTAGTTTTTAGCCAATGTGAAATTGGTTGAAAATAGTTTCGTGTTGATTTTGCTAAACGGCACTGTTCTTACTTTACCCTTAATTCTGCTGTTTTCGTCAGGCCATGTGTCTTCAGCTTCTCACCGCCATTGGTGCGTTAGCCGGAACTGCCTGCTCCTTATTGGCTGAAGGGGTGGGTGCCGCGGCAACCACCTGGATCCTGCCGTTCACCGCCGGAGGCTTCGTTTACATCGCGACCGTCACAGTTCTTCCAGAGCTGCTGGTGGGACGCTCTAGTTTCTGGCAGTCAATGCTGGAGATCCTCGCTCTGCTGTTCGGGGTGGGAATGATGGTGCTGATCGCTGAGTACGAGTGAGGGACGGACGGAGCCATGTTTGAAAGAAGAACCTTTAAAATAAGGTGAAGAGGCCAATGCATGGTCACCTGAACCTCTAGAGACTAAGAGTGTGTTGAGATGAATGTTAGCATTGACCATAGAAAAATAAAACGGAATGAATGAGGGAGCGAGTGAAAGAAAATGTGCTGAACAAGTGCTGAACTGCACTCAATTACCCAAAGACCAACATGAATGGATCACTTAATTATTTTAGGCACAGGAACCTTCCCAGGGACCAAAAGCTAGAAAATCACGTCCGGTTCTCTATACTGCTACGGACAGGATCGGCACGTGGAAACTCATTGAAATTTGACCATTATGTTCCCATGATTCATCATTTGTGTTTCCTGGAGCAGTCAGATAAACACTCGCTGAAGCACCGCTTCTCTCATCAGTAGACTGCTTTTCTAGAAATATCAGTTATGTTACATGATTAAATCATTTGATTTTGCTGTTCCCACAATAAAGGTTAATGTGATTTTTTTTATTAAGCAGAGTGTGCTTTCTCTTTGACGGAGATTCTTTGATTCCTCTGCTGAAATATTGTGTAGCCATTAGTCAGTGACCGAATAACATTGACTGTCCACTCTTTAACTCACACACACACACGCTCTCCACTGATACTCATTTCCCATGAGTCTCCAGAGGAATCTGCAGCTTGACATTGTCATTGGTGATGGGTTCTTCAGATGGTGCAAACACACTGTTTATTGAATTACAGTAGATTTAGTGTTTATTTCTTTTCTTTTTGCCTGTAACTCTATTCATGCAGATGTTTTGATCCTTTCTTGAATTTGTTCATTGAAATGTTCAATCTCTATTACCTGTAATGTAAACTCTTTACATTCCCATTGTGTGTAAATCAAGCATATCACTTCACGAATAGAAGTGGATGCAATGTTGTTCAATTTCAGTTCAATAAAAGAGTTGTGGTACATCTCTAACAGTCTGTGTTCAGAAGAATTCTGAGAAAGCATCTTCTCGTAGGATAATTCCTCCTGATGAGTGATTGTGAATCACTGCTGACATCTGAGGAGAGAAAACTCCTTAAATCACTTTTTTCAAATGAAAAATGTCACACATTGACGTTGTCTTGCATCATGTGCAGCACATACATATAACATGCATTTGGACCTGTGATTTTCAACAGGCATATGTTCATATATTGAGAGGTGAAATTTCTATCACATCAGTAAAACTGCAGTCATCTGCTGACTGATTTCAGCTTATTTCACTCAAATGTAGTAAAGTTTATACCATCAAGATGATTTATTCACAATGAAAGTGAATTGCAGATATTAAAGTATAATGATGTGCTTGCAGCTTTCAACAATTATCTTGTTTCATTACAAACATTTGAAAACGCTCCAGTTACTAACAAACCTTGGTTCCCTGAGATACGGGGACGAGCATTGCGTTAATCACGCTATGGAGAAACTCCTGTTTACTCTGATACTGAAGCTTGATTTGTTCACGTTCGTGTAGCTGCACAAACCCAAGTGGTGGAGCTGACTGCTATATAAGTCGGCTCTGAGTGCCACTTCATCAGAATCTTTCGACTGAAGCAACAGTCGTTGACTCGCGTGCAGCTTTATAGCACAGTAGCCTACGCAACACTCATTCCCTTATCTCAGGGAACCGAGGTTATGTAAGTAACCGGAGCGTTCCCTTTCGAACAGTTTCCCATTGCGTTAATCATGCTATGGGGAACGCATCCTATCATGCCGTGCTATAAGCAAGTGCAGAATGAAGCCACTCTGCGAGCCCAGCCTTGGAGCACCCATACTGAGGGCTCCTCTAAGCATGAGCTAATAATGAGACCCAAGTTATAAAATCTGGTGAAGGTAGACGGAGACATCCAGCCGGCAGCCGCCATGATATTACCAATAGAAATTGCGGTGGGTGGAGTGGGACCTCACTTCTATAGGACACTTTAAGCCTGCTGAGGCGTAAGCCAAGGCTATAGCATCCACTATCAAGCGAGATCTCTGTCAGTCTTTGCTTCGTGTCCAGCAGCCTTTTAGAGCAGCCTCTGAAGCATACAACGAGCTGCTCTGAGTCGAAGCATACACTCTAAGGGCCCAAACTGGGCAGAGTGAATTAGGACCCTGCTCACCTTCTGAATTGGGGAGCGCTAGGAGGGTGATGACTTGTGCTCTGAATGGAGTGGAGAGCACTTTTGGCACGTAGCCATGTCTTGGTTTGAGGACGACTCTACAGTTGTTAGGCACAAACTCAAGACATGAAGCACTGACTGACAGTGCTTGCAGGTCACCCACTCGCTTGATTGACACTAAAGCCAGAAGGAGGGCGGTCTTAAGCGACAGGGGCCACTAGTCAGCCGATTGGAGCGGCTTGAAGGGAGGGCCCTGTAGGACCTGAGGACTATAGAGAAGTCCCAAGTCAGCACAGTGTGAGGATGAGGCGGATTAAATCTCCGAGCTCCCCTCAGAAACTTAACGACTAGGTCAGCCATGATAGCATGATTCGTCATGATGGCTGCCGCATATACTTTGAGCGTGGAATGGGTGCACCCCTTGTCCAACAGCTCTTGTTGAAAAGTTAGCACGTAGGACACGTCACAGGAGGATGGCTCCTCATTTCGTGCTGCACACCAGTCAGAAAAGACTGACCATTTAAGGGCATAGAGACGTCTTGTAGACGAAACTCTAGCTTCCAAAATGGTATTAGCTACACTCGCGTGGAGCTGCAAGGACTCTCGCCGAGGTGCCACACATGAAGGCTCCACAGCTCTGGCCAGGTATGCCAAAACAATACCTCAATGGTATCGGCCAGTGGGGCCACCAGAAGCAGGGCAACTGGGGGGAAAGGCGTACAGGTGAGTGCTGGGCCAATCGGGGGCCAGGGCATCTCGCTGCTTCGAAAAATTAATTGGGCAGTGAAAGTTGTCTTCTGAGGCAAAGAAGTCCACCTCTGCCCTCCCGAAGACAAACCAGATCGTTTGAACCATTTGGGGATGTAGTCTCCATTCTCCTGGAGCTACATTGTCCCTGGACAGAATGTCTGCTCCCTGGTTCAATCTTCCTGGCACATGAACTGCTCTCAGTGAGAGGAGTTTGCCCTGTGCCCATAAAAGGAGGCGTAGAGGGAGAGTGACTTGAGACCGCTTTGGCAATTTATGAAGGCTACCACTGTCATGTTGTCCGAACGGACCAGAACGTGGTGCCCCTTCAAGGCCAGCAGGAAGGTTTTTAGGGCTAGAAAAACCACCATCATCTCAAGGCAGTTGATGTGTAAGCATTACTCAAGGTTTGACCAGGAACCTAACGCTGGTCTGTCCTTGTACAGAGCTCTCCAACCTGAGTTGGAGGCATCTGTCATGACCACCTTCCTTCTGGAGGTCAGTCCCAACAGGATGTCTGATTGAAACAGGCCAGAAGTTTTCCAAGGGGCCACAGCTCTGATGCAGCGGTGGGTTACCCTGAGTTGAAAACGTCCCAAGTGTGGGACAAGACATGGGTTTTTAGTCAATACTGGAGGGGCTGCATGTGAAGCAGGCCCAGAGGAATCACAGAGGAAGCGGCTGACATGAGGCTGAGCATCCTCTGGAAAGCCCTGAGGGGATGTGAAGTCCCGAGTTTGAACGATGCCGTCTTATGAGCGAGCAATTCAGATGCGAGAACGAGAATGGGCCTGAAAAGATGGGCGTCATCTCTTTGGGGGAAAAGCCCGACTCGCTGTTCGCTAGAGGAACCATTTCTATGGCTTCCTTTGCAAGCAGTGTTTTCACCAGAGAACGTGAGCATCGTTGTCCCGTACCGAAGTTTGAATAATACCTCTGAAGCGAGGCGGCCTACAAGCGAACTGAAGCGAGTAACCTCGTTCCATGATGTTTAGAATCCAACATGACATATCCGGGATAGCTTTCCAAGCCTGAAGCTGGATGGCAAGTGGTCTGAGTTTTTTGAGTGGTAGTGCCGCATGGTTGCGGGAAACTGACATTCGTGGTAATGAGGAGAGGAGAAATGCTCTTTTAAGTATGTGGGTCTGCTCTCACAGTGGTAGTTTGTTTGGGCACACGCTGAATGGGGAGGACAAGCGCAACTTGAATGGAACTTCCATTGCTCGGTGTTGAGCGAAGGGATGGAGAGCGGGCATGAGACTTCTTCGAGGGAGTTCCAGCCTCCGCAAGAGCTGACCCTCTCCTCTTCCTCTCTGCATGTGGATCAGGATGGCTTCTGATGCTCAGGGTCCAACGTCACTCTGAGCGGATGGAGCCTTCTGGCGACTTGAAACAGCCATCGCACTGGAGCGCTTCGCATTGCCTGCGATGACTTCTGGAGCCGACCAAGCCAGACTGAGATCCTCCACAGCCTCAGTTAGAACGCAGATCAACTCGCTGTCCACGCTGGGCCTGCATCGTAGGAAGGGTGTCAGGGTCTTTGCCAGAACACACCCACTCTTCCGCATCTGAAGCCGTCAATGACATAGAGTCATTTATGACAGCTTCCTCCTCCGATCCGCCGAAGGAAATCAAGCCACTCACAGCTGACGAGGGGTGCTGATCCTCCCGTATGAAGAACACGGCTGCTCCGCTGTTTCTTCCTCCTAGGGGAGGTGGGGAATGGGACAGCAGGCCGAGGAGGACCGCCTACATGGAAGAAGCTGCGAGTGGAGAAGGGCTAGACTCATGTTCTTGCAGTGAGACATTCCGCCTCGGTGAGCGCAGCCTCTGCGTGGATGCTGCTCAGACAGGCGATGCACTCACTGTGCCCATCTGCATTGTGCAGGGTTTCCCTGCACCAGCCACACTCGTGGTGCAACATTTGCAACAACGTCGCAGTGAAAATTTGCTCAGAAAATATGTTGGTTTTAAAAGCCGGATGGCTGCAGGGGAAGGCGTTGAGCTTCTTTCATTGCAAATGGCATCTTCTCACAACGGCGAGCAGGAGGCTGAGTTTCTTCTCTTCTCTTCGGCTTCTTGCTTGCAGCTCCTCACCAGAGTCAGCGAGGAGGTGATCTTCATCACTGAAGGAGAAAATTCTGACGAAATGGCACTCAGACCCAACTTAAATAGCAGTCGGCTCCTCCCCTTTTGGCAGGTTGAAGCGCCATTGGTTCATGCAGCTACACGAACGTGATCAAATCAATGGGAGATTTATGTGATTAACGCAATGGGAGAGACCGTTCGAAAGAGAACCATGTCTACTGCTGCATTCAAAACCGCATACTTCCCTACTATTTAGTAGGCAAAAAGCAGTAGGCGAATTAATAAATATGTCCAAATCCTTAGTATTCATCAAGGAGCACAGTGCTCTTATTACAGGGACCGCCAATCCCCCTGCAGCAACCTGGAGTAAAGAGCCTTGCTCAAGGACACACTGGTTGTGATGGCTGCGAAGATTGAACCAGCAGCCTTCTGCTTACCAGTTCAGTGGTTTAGCCCACTACAAAAGTAATGAAGCTACAAAAAAAAAAAAAATGCATGTAATTGTAAACATATGAAATGAAATTGGCAAGAAATGGAAAGGTGGACACGGTGGTCAGCTGCAGAACTGTCTCAGCTGTGTTGAGATGGCAATAGGATGTGGGCTTCACTGCCTGTAAATACATGTTTGTTAGAACAATAATTTTGAATAAAGTTTTGTTTCATGTGTTGTTGACTTGTATACGTATGTATTTCTTGTGATGGATACTTTTATTAATTTTTTGCTCATTTATTAATGTATTCTGTTGTTATCAGTAAATAAAACAATTATTTAATTAACTTATGCATTAATTCATTGCTTGACTGAAAATTGAGATGTATTCACCTTGGCAGCATTTGTCTAGTGTGTATTTATGCATAGCTTTGGCATATGATAAAAAAACAAATTACATTTTGCTTGTTTTACTAAAACATATAATTTTCAGTACACATACACACACACACACACACACATAAATATATATATATATATATATATATATATATATAATTTAT